GGCTTTTTTCTCATTTTTTTCGTCAATGTTAGCTGCTGTTTTTCAGGTTGTAAATGAGTACTTATGAAACAAATGATGATTCGATATATTAGGCTAGGTAGTATTGTTTCAAAAAAATGAAAAAAGAAAAATCTATCTTTCCACTGAGGGGTGCCACTTGGTTATTCCTGAAGGGTATAAATCGAAACCTATAAATTAAAGTACCCAACTTTATGCCCCGATATCACCACTGCCGCGGGGTCTCATGAATTCTTTTTGTGGTTGTTAGTAAATGGGTACAAGGTCTCTCGATTAAAAAAATAAAATTTCATATATCTTCATACGCATGCGCGATAACATTTTCTAAGTTTTGACAATTTTAATATTGGATCATCTGATATTGATATGTTCTAATCAATATAGTGACAAAATATGGATGCTAAACGACTCGATACCATCGGCAATTGACAGACTAGCGTTTCGAACCCGCTCGGGCAGTCGTAGAACCCGCTCTGTCAAAACTATCAGTTCTGGTATCCAGCCATCCAAGATGGCGGCTTCTGTATGTGGTTTTTCACAGTTTTCTACTTCAAAATGCGGCATTTTCACTGTGTATCCTAAAGAGACTGAGCATGTTTTATTGAAAGAGTGTACTAAAGACATCAGAGGGTATTTGTCAAGTGTTCAAGTTACCAAAAATGACGTTAAGCACGAGTGGCAACTGATTTGTTTTAGAAGTGGGATTTTTGACGTTCAATTACCAGTCTTAAACGCAAAGACAATATGTCCAAACCACCGGTACAGTCTTGGTATAAGATGGAAACTGATATTTACTATTTGTCAATGATTACATGTATAACACTGTCCTGATGATATTTACTATTTTTCAATGATAGTAACATCGTCCCGCTGATATTTACTATTTGTCAATGATAGTAACACCGTCCTGATGATATTTACTATTTTTCAATGATAGTAACATGGTCCCGCTGATATTTACTACATATTTGTCAATGATAGTAACACCGTTTTACTGATATTTACTATTTGTCAATGATAATAACACCGTCCTGATGATATTTACTATTTTTCAATGACACCGTCCTGCTCATATTTACTATTTTTCAATGATAGTTATATCGTCCCGCTGATATTTACTATTTTTCAATGATAGTAACATCGTCCCACAGATATTTACTATTTGTCAATGATTATAACACCGTTCTGCTGATATTTACTATTTGTCAATGATTATAACACCGTCCTGATGATATTTACTATTTGTCAATGATTATAACACCGCTCTGCTGATATTTACTATTTGTCAATGATTATAACACCGCTCTGCTGATATTTAATATTTGTCAAAGATTGTAACACCGTCGAACATCTTTCTTCGAAAGGCGGGGGACAAAAATGTTATGAGTTAGACCAACATGTATAACACTACTCTACTACTAGTACCAATTGTTGCTGTTCGATATTCTGATATATACGTACACCTAATATACTGAGTGCCATGGAAAACGCATCACTTTTTTTCCCCAAATATTTTATTACTAGGTGGTTTTGTATGTATATTATGCAATACTATGAACTATTGTTTCACACAATGCTCCCAAACGCAAAAAATATCGGCCCGTGTGCAAAAAAAAAAAAAAAATTGCACGAGATGCACATGAAAAACCCAATATTCACGTGCAGCATTGTGTTTGAGCCCTTTAAAAGCATGTTTTCAACTTAATGTGCAGTACATGAACTGTGAAACGTCAATCTGTCGTAATTTGTTGTTGGATGTGTGAAGGAATCGAGCTAGAGATGCCGAGACTTACTGAATGTCCAGGGCTGGCATGCCTACACGTGCTTTTGCCAGACACTTCAAATGTCATCAGTCCACTATTGTAAGGTTGGTGGAACGTGTTCGAGTTACTGAATCAACACGTGACCGTCAACGTCCTGGTCCACAACGCGTTACAACCCAGGCTCAAGATCGCTACATCCGGGTCACTCATCTGCGTGACAGATTCCGCCCAGCGACTCGAACAGGTGCAGCAGTCGTCGGAAGACAAGGACCAGTAAGTGCCAACACCGTAAGACGTTGTTTAAGAGAAGTAGGACTCCGTGCACGATGACCTTATGTTGGAGCTATCCTCAGGGATCATCACCGTCAGTGGCGTTTGATATGGGCTCAAGGACACCAGACATGGAGAAGAGTAGACTGGCAAAGTGTGCTCTTCAGTGATGAGAGTCGCTTTCATCTTTATCACGCTGATGGCAGTCAACGTGTTTGGGGACGTCTTGGGGAACGTCTTGCAGACTGCTGCGTCTTCGAAACAAATCGATGGGGTGGGGGAAGTGTAATGGTGTGGGGAGGCTTTGTATCCTTGATTACAGATTAAACATTTGTTTATTTTTGGGGCTTTTTGTGAAGATGATGATCACCGTACTTTAAGAGTGTAGGACTACTAAATATAGATGATTAACTCGTTGGTCGCAGGTAGAGGTAAAGATAACATCGGTCCTGAAAATTGAAAGATAAGAAAAAATCTTGCCTTTTTAGTCGTGGTGATCTGGAACTTTTTAGAGTGTAGAATTTATTTTCCAATCTTGAGGATTTATGCCTACATTTTACTATTGAATGACTACTGTGAGCTATGACAGTTCTCTCAACTGCAGCTTATTATAATGAGATCTGTACATATCAAGAGATTTAAGAGTGAAATAATGCGAATTTTAGCAAATTTCCACTTCCAGTTGCAGTAAGAGTTGTCATACGAACATTATGTTGCGAAAATATAGCAGATGTGAAGGCGTCTGTATTATACTACATTTGTTTGAATATCAGTTTGATAATATTGGGGATAAAGCTTCGTAAAATTGTCGAATTTATCCGATTTTTGTCAAAATTACCCACTATTTTTGAGAGTGTAGTTATAGACATATATGAAATTTTATTTTTTTAATCGAGAGACCTGATACCCAGTTACTAACAACCACAAAAAGAATTCCTGGGACCCCGCGGCAGTGGAGATATCGCGGCATAAAGTTAGGGTACTTTATAAGGTTTGATTTATACACTTCAGGAATAACCAAATGGCAACCCTGAGTGGAAAGATAGATTTTTCTTTCTTCATTTTTTTTAAACATTACTACCTAGCCAAATATATCGAATCATCATTTGTTTCATAAGTACTCATTTACAACCTGAAAAACAGCAGCTAACATTGCCTAAAATTGACGAAAAAATGAGAAAAAAGCCCCAAAAACACCTGCCTGCCGTATCTCGGCTAGGGTCAATTTCTGAGATCGGCGGTTTTGGCTATCGAGTAGTCTCATGGGCATGACCAAACCCTATGAATATGAATGGAATCGGCCGACCCCGGTTTTCTCGTGGAATATCTTTTGCGTCTAAAAGCAATTTTCGTACGGCAGTCGAGATCACGGGAAAGTGCCACTGTAGATGAGAATTTCTATATGGAGTCTTAAAAGACGCAAAAGATATTGCAGACAAAATCACTGTCCATTGATTTAGGGTGTTATATACTCTTACGATATGTGACATCTATGAGAATGACTAGTTTATAGATGCTGTCGGCTCACATCAATGCGATTAAAATGATCGACAATAGAGAAACCACAAACACGTGGAATAAAATTATAATCACTCTTATTGGATTGATGAATAGTCCGACAAAGGGGAAGCAATGACTTCTGTTTAAGATTAGATTGATGAATTGTCCATCAATGGATTACGTCAGTCAATCATGGCAGATTAAGTAGTTTATCTAAAATCAAGGTAGGTGTATAGCCGGTATAACATGATAAATACGTTGATCACTTAATTACCTAACCAATCCAGCCTATTATCAACGATAATCGGGTTGAGTGGTAGTTATACACTCAGTACATTATATTAATTTTGGAATTTTGAATATTATTCACCCTGTCTTGATGTCCGATTGGGCATATTATTTTGTCCCAAAAAGTTTGACGGACGGACGGACAGACAGACAGACGGATGAACCTATTTTAATAGTCCCTGATTTCTTTGAAAGGCGGGGGACAATCAAAATAGTGACCTGTAGAGTGTCAGGGGCGACAACAATATAAATGTGGGCGTATAAAAATTGCACATAAATTTAATACAGATCGGATGATCACTTTTGTCATTTAGAGCTTTCACAAAATTCAACGAAAAGATAGGTTGTCAGGCAATAAAACATCTGCCCACAAGTCATCCAAGCAGTTGATAAGGGTTGTCTTGCATATTATTCTTTTGCAGTTAATGGAGCATTTACAATTATCAGAAAATGTTGAAAATCTATAGACTTCTTCATCCAATGAACTTATAAATTTCATGACAATCGGATGATAACTTTAGCCATTAGGGTAGTAGGGTGACCACAAATTGATTAATGTGGGCGTATAAAACGGGTCATAACTCTTGAAGTTATCAACAGAGTGAAACAAGGGCCGTAATGAACGTAAGGGATTGATTATTAATTGGCTTCTTCATGTCACTAATTTGAACAACATCAATCACTATTGTGGTTAGAGTATTCACAAGTTCTACAAAGTGAAACAGAGGTAATAACTTTATAAGTAATTAACAGAAATTGTTGTAATTTGATAGGAATCTACATTTCACTAACTTGAATAATGCATGTCAATTTCAATGAGATCGGATGATCACTTTCATTGTTAGAGGTTCTCAAGTTTCTATAAAGTGAAAGTTGAAACGAGCTGTAACTCTAGAAGTTGTAATTCAACTTTTTTGTCTCACTAATTTAAATGCAAACATAATACATGTATAAATATGCAGTCTACTATTGTTCAAATGTTCAATACCAAAGAATATCTTCATTGTCATGATTTCTAAACCAAACAATTCATCAGAAGACAATCTGGATTGAACAGATAGAAATTTGACCTAAGGATTAGATGCAAACTATTTATTTCAAAGTTTACACAAGACTGAGAATAATTAAAATGTTTTATAGAACAATTAAAAGAGTGTTTACCTCATCCCAGCAATCAAATACCCCTCCTTTCAATAGAGCATCTGGCACTGTTTTACGCCAGTTGAACTCAAAAGGTTTGGCCATGGGGTATAGGCCTACTTAACTAACTCCAGATTCTGAAAAATAAATCAAGGTTAAATATTTAATGAAAGTTCAATTATATTTAGGTTCTGCATGCTTTAATCAAATCTGCAACTCATATTCAGAAATCACCTGAATAAAAGAAAGTTTGCCAGGATACAAAACATATGCCCACCACTGCTAAATTGTCTGAGCTATGAAATCTATTTCTATCAAATTTGTACATATTTTGACTAGATAATGTATGACCAGGGATGCTATTTCCAAATGTTGCTCGTTCGACATAGTTTTAGGACAGAATTAGGTCACCAGAAGTCATTTATCAGCTTCAGGAAATAAGAGTAAATAAGCTTCAATTCCCTTGAATACATGTAGACTTCAACTACAAATTTTACATATTTAATTCCTGAACTGTTTTTAAATTTGTGTCAGTAATATTCCTTAAAAATTGCGTGGAAAGCGTACCGTAGATGTACCTTGCTTCAAATTCACATCAGTAATAAATATTCCTCCCAAATTACGTGTCTTCGTTCATACAGGAAATGAAAGCAAAATGCCCATAATAAGAATAGTTTTTCTTTATAAAACAGTATTTTAAAATTACATCCCAAGACACCAGTAATCACCCATGGTCGCTTTTGTTACTGATACTTGCCCACATGATATGTTTTTCGCGCCAAAATGAACCATTCTAGTTAGCTTTTGTAGAAATCAATACAAAAACGTGGAAAAATGACATTTTCACCACGTAGTAATTTGTTACAAAATAAAGGTAACCGATGTTTATTTTAAGAGATGGATATATTTTTCGTACATATATGTTTATAGCCTACAGAATATTTTGTTGTCCAGTGAATGGAATATGATTATAATTTTGTTTGATGCTATGATGGGGTGCCAGGTTGGAACATGTGGACAATTCTTAAGACAGGAAATGGTTATAAATTAAAATTGTGAATAATTATCGAGCATGTAATGTATATTTACAGGATTATAAAAATTACTGTTTGCACTAATTACTTACACTGTGAACTGAATGACTATTAAAGGTTAGTTTAAAAGTTGGTTGACTTCCTAATCAAGAAGTAATAATCTTTGACTAGTTTTAACATCTCGATGACCGACATCAAGGAGCTAAGAATGTCCAACAGAGAAACCATAAATTGTTTTCAGGATTAAGATATAAAGGAAGTCAATAAAGGCAGATTAGGTATCGTAGTTAAAGATATATAGTTAAGAGTTTAATAAAGAGTTGGTCATTCTTGCTATAATAATTCAAAATTAGATGATAAACAAACCAACAGTGAGACTGATGTCCCCTGCCAAAAAAAAAACAACAGATGACACATATTAATTAATTGCACATTTATCTTTTTCAAAAGTATCGAGTAATCAAACTGATCATCTATGCTTAGTTTAAGCATAAAATGTTCACTATCAAACTGAGGTTTTGATTGAAGTACCTGGTAATGAGTGAAACTATACACTAAGTCACTAAGTTTCATCAGTTTCATCACTCTCCATCAGTTAGAATCAAAGTTATGTTGTCCCAAGGCATCGACCAAAGAAATTGCTCAGCTCGCCTTACCTTTAAATGGGAAATATTAATCATTGAACTCTGTCAAGACATTCGCCTAATGAACGTATATACCTTAATTAAAAGCAGAATTGTTATGTTCCAAAGTCTTGACCAATCAAATTGCTTATCGATCCGTAGCCCAAGCAGAAAATTCTCATCATCGAACTTAGTCAATGTATTGATATAATGAATTTATACTCACCCTATTAGAACTAAAGTTATTATATCCCAAAGTCTCAACTGATCAAATTGCTCATTTCTGCTTACCCTTAGTGGAAAATGCGCATAAACGAACTATGTCAAGGTATTCACCTAATAGACACCTACACCAATTTTGAACATTCTACCTCAATTAGAAGGAGAGTTATTGTGTTCCAAAGTCTCAACCAATCAGATTGAAGTCTAACTTAGTCAAGGTATTGATGTGATGAAACTACATGTATACACCAAGTTTCATCACTCTCACTTCATTAAATTAGAACCAAGTTATCATGTCCTATAGCATCAACCAATCAAATTGCTAATCTCTGCTTACCCTAAGCACAAAATGCTCATCTTTGAACTCCATCAAGGCATTCACCCAATCAACGCCTACACCAAGTTTGAACATTCTACCTCAATTCGAAGGAGAGTTATTGTGTTGTTAAGTCTCAACCAATCAAATTGTTTATTGCTCTACTTACCCTGAGCAGAAAATGCTCATTACTGAACTTAGTCAAGATATTAATGCAATGAAACTCTATGCCAAATTTCATCACTCTCACTTAATTAGAACTAAAGTTATCGTGTCCCAAAGCATCAACCAATTAAATTGAATATCTCTGCTACTGCTAGTCTGCTTACACTAAGCAGAAAATGCTCATCTTCGAACTCTATCAAGGCATTGACCTAAAAACACCTACACAAAAAAGAAAATATTGAAAATTTTATTCCAATTACTTCATTCTGAGCCAAGTTATCATTGTTTGTAATTTTGACAAGATGCGTGCATAGTACAGAGTAACCAGTGCACTGGTATATTCGAGACTTAGCCTCGCTTTAGCATTTTTGAATTAAATTTTTAAATGGCAAACTGTTTTAATCTAGTTAAAATCTCGAATATCCGAAGCGATCGAGCTGGGGCGTACATAACGATGTGACCGACTGATGCACATACCCCCAGTACGAGTGACGCAGTCAGGAGCCGCGCACCACAGGTGCGAGTTTTCTAGGGGCCATGTGCAGAGCGGATCTAGAAGCTGGGAATAGGGGTGGGGTGGGGATGGTTCCAAATCTAGGGCGCTATCCACAATCCCATCCCACAATGAATGTCAACTTAATACTGGCTATAACATTAAGCGTCCCAGTAGAACATAGACAGTATTGTATAATGATATAGTTGTTCGCCGATCATTGTCTCGCCGGAAAGCAGTTTTATTTAAGTTGACATAAAGTTTATGTCATATATACTATTCAAAAAAAGTAGGGGATATTTGATTTTGGGGGCATAATACTAAAATATGCAAATGACTACGAAAAAATTCACTATAGAACCTAACAGAAGAAACATTTCCAGTTACATGTGACGCCCAAACGCACCAATAGCTACCGCATGGAATGCAGGTGATGCTTGGGATCATCATGGGGGTCCAACCCAAGATTTGCACGACTCTGACTTTGAATGTTACAGTCATTGTGGCATTGAATTCCAGAGTGGAAACATCAGTTTAATTGTTTTAGTGACCAGAAAACAAATTTTGATATGCGTCGGCTTACCCAAAATGAAAGGTTACGTGCCCTTGGCATGCTACAGATCGGCACAACACAGGCGGTTGTGGCGCGGACGATGAATGTTTCTTAGTCTGTCATAAGCAGGCTATGGTCCAGATACCGTGATACACAATCTGTACAGGACAGACCACGCTCAGGTCGACCAAGGGCGACAACTCAAGCCCAGGATCGATTTATCCGTACCTTGGCCTTGAGAAATCGTGTCATCACAGCAAATCAAATCAGCGCTTGTCTTCAAACAGACACTGGTGTGAGAGTGAGTGGCCAGACGATTCGGAATCGACTGCATAGGGGTCAACTTCGCGCCTGACGTCCTCGCGTGATCCCTTGTTTGAGAGATCATCACATTCAGGCAAGACGTCGTTGGTGTAGGGATCGTCAACACTGGGATAATCGACGCTGGAGCAATGTGATGTTTTCAGATGAGTCAAGGTTCACTGTTGATTTTTTGGACAGACGTAGGAGGGTGTGGCGTCGTCGAAACGAGCGCTTCCAAGACGTTAACGTCATCAGACATGATCGATTTGGGGGTGGTTCTGTTATGGTGTGGGGAGGCATCACTGTTGCTGGAAGAACGGCTTTACATGTTGTTGCAGGCCAGTACTACCGGGACAACATCTTAGCAGTCCATGTTGTGCCGTTCGCACGACGTCATGGCCGCCGTTTCATCTTCCAGGATGCCAACGCAAGATGTCACAGGGCCAGGATCGTTACAGGTTACCTCCAACAACAGAACATCACCACATTACCTTGGCCAGTACTGAGTCCCGACCTCTCCCCCATCGAGCATGTCTGGGACATGCTTGGACAGAGGTTACGTCAACGTCAACAACGTCCTGCCAATGTCCAAGAACTTGCTGCTGCGTTGCAACAGGAATGGGACAATCTGGACCAAAATGACCTTAGACGTCTCATTAGGAGTATGCCACATCGGATCAATGCTTGTTTGGCAAACAGAGGAGGATTTACCCGTTACTGACTTGGTTGTGATGCTGTGGTAACTTTGCTGTTTGACCACGGGTATCATTTTACCCTTATAATGGTCAGTCTGTGTCTTACTTAGTCTAACGATCATTTGGAATAAATCGATGAATGTGAACTTCATTTCATTTTGTCATTTGTTTCTTCGTCAGTTTCATTAGGTGACTTTAATAACACTTAAAAATCAAATATCCCCACACACCTGTATAACTGGGCAGTTCACTATAACCGTGAATATGATAGTGCTGCGCCATAATATTATGTTGTATTGTGTGATGTTCAGTTCCCTGTGATCTATAAGTCGGGCCCCTGTGCGGAAGGGCTACTTCCGGGAACTGGTTTCCGGTTTCCTGTGTGTTTTGTTTTGGTAACATTGTCCGGTATTAAAAAAGTGTTAACAGTTTGTCGCTGTCTTCGTGTTCGCTCCTTTACTATAAACTGTCGTGGTGGCAGACCTGTATAAGAAAACAGGAATAGAAGAATAATGTTATAACGGAATCCAGCGCCGCAGGCACGAAAAAATTTCAGATATGTAACCGAGCTTTTAATTTTTCGGGACAGGGCCTGAGAATTTTAGTCATTGTCGTGGCAAATGGAACCAAATTCTAGCTAACGAGAGGATAAGAAATGAGACAGAATCTTGTGGCCTATCTGTCAATTTCGCCTGTTTTGTAATTGTTTACCTCATTAATTCATTTAGTCTGA